GGCGCGATGGCCGCAAATTTTCAATCAAAATCTCGTCCTCCCCATACGAAATTTCACTCTCTATGATTCACGCCTAGGGGAGGGCCTAGGAAAAATTTTTTGAGGCGGGGGGGAGGGCCTGGGAAAATTTTTTTTGACCTGGGGGGAGGGCCTAGGAAATTTTTTTTTATGCTACCCCCTCCCCGGTAAATATCGTACAGTCCCTTAGAAGTGGTAATTGTACAGCTTTGCTAATATAAGGCACAACTTACTTAAAGAAACCTCGACTGCAAGTGAAGGTTAAGTTTTTTTGTTTGCGCTGGCTAAGAAAGAAGAGCTGCAGCCTGTAGTCTTTCTGGTTGGTCAGGAGGTGGATGTTGTCGTTCCCCAGCCAGTGTTCCCCGTCCTTGTTCCCGAACCCCTGTTTGTAGTCCTCCCAGGTACGGTTAAACGGGACAGTCCCGTCAATCCGGCGCTGGATAATAGTCCAACCCCCGCCTGGGTAAAACAGAATGATGCAATTTTGTCTACCAACAGGAGTAAACTGAAAATGACATCGAAAAAAACCTCCGTTCTTTCGGCTCGTTGTCATTTACACATACTAAATGAATATTCGTAGGACACAATCTTCTGTAAGTAAACATGGTTTATGCGATTTGGCTAAGGCGCTTGATATAATATGGCAAATTTAGACAAATCCATTGCAAGCGGTTTGATTTATAGGTATAAAGACACAGACAAAACATGTTCAAAGTATGACAATTCCTAGTCTATTGTAGCATTTGTGCATAAATTATGTAGATGAGGCCTTAATTGCATTATTTAGATCTAATGATAAATTTTACTAGACTTTCAAATGCCACAAGAAATAAATTATCATCATTTACCACCACTGAGTTACGGTGGGCTCTATCAATTATGCAAATTAGTACTTTAGTCATAATATTATCAATGTATCAAAGGAATTGTTAGTTACAGCTAATAGTATGAAAAACTGCCCACAATACTAAAACTCTTTTTATGATACTTTCATGTTGCTACCTCACCGTCAGTGTCCATGTCGCAGTAGACCTCCACAGGTGTGTTGTTCTGCAGGGTGACGAGGTAAACGCCGCTTGTTGTGGATCCTCCCTCGTAGATCTCAGCACAGTCACGGCATTTTCCTGGGGCTGCAAACATGGTAGGAGAACTTAAGTTTTGCCTTTTCTTTTTGGTGTCGAATGGTCGAGTGGCTAGGCTAGCTGACACGAGTTAAGGATGTCACTTGTTCCCTCTCTGACATGCTTGGCTAGACGTTGTGTCATTGGCCATGGTATTTCACACGACTTTCCTTCCTTCACCCAGTAAAATGGATACCTGGCTTTAGTTTGGAGGTAATGAGGGACACAAACTGCTATGTGTCCCTCATTGGCCCTTTATCTCTTGAAAATGATGTACTGTAAGTAGGTAGTGCATTGAGCTACAGTGAAACGACAAGTAATGACAAGACA